AAAGTAATAAGTTATTCTCCCTTCAAATATTGATGTTTGTCTATTCTATATTCTAAGATTTACTGATGTAGTTGAAATGTTCCACTCCGACTCTATTGATGACTCAGAGACTCCACCTTTATTAAGTTTCACCTAATCCTCGAGAACAAAAAATACATTGGGATGGTGTTTTCTACACTAAGGGGGGTGGGACACTGCAAGCCCTTGACTGCCTATTCTTACGGGTTACTGTTTCCGGTGCATTTTGCAGTCATTTGGCTCCCAACGTGACCATTGGCGCTTTCAGACTATCTTGAATAGTATTTCTTGTATGCGTGTATTTGTTACCTGGTTTATTATTTGTGTTTAAAAAAAGTGTATCGTTATATGAATCGCCATTTTGAAATAAAAATTCGTTATAAAACAATTCTTACCTTGTCAACAGTATACCAACTTCGAAATTTAAACTTAAATGATAATTTGTTATCTCGCAGCACGAACAATATGCTAACACTAACGTATGATAATGCCCCTTGTAACAAGGACAAACAGTAATAAACGTGTAAAAAGAGGCCAATTCGGGGCTGCCAAAGAGGCGAGTACTTTCTAAATGCCATGCCTCTTTTTTTAACAATACGTCTATAAATAACTAAAACAAATTTACACTTCAAACTCACCAGAATTAATTAATATCATCAAAATCTTATGAAATACAGCTGAGAAATTATATAATTTATTTCTGTCATTAAATTATCTGTTTGAAAATATCGCCTCGCAGAATAAGCAAAGCAGCGGTATACTTTCTAACCGGAAGTAAAGCATGTCAAGAGCTCGAGACTGTTTTGGTTTGCATATTGAAAACACCATCCATATATAATAACTGAGTAAATAAAAAATTTTTATACTGTAAATATTAATTTTGTATCCACGATTAGTGTTAAATGTATTTACATTTCATAACAGAACAGTTGAAGAAATAAACTTCAGAAAATATTGAAATTGTATAAAAAAAACATTCTAAGAAAAAGTTAGATATCACGCGCGAATTTTTTTATTAAGAAGAAGATTCTTGAGGAATATTCTGCAAACTATGACAAATGAAACATTCAGAGACAAGAAACATTCAGATCTGGCAAGTTATTTTTTAAAAAAAATTGTAACATAATTCATTTAAATAACATCTTTCTTCATAATTCGCGGGCAAGAAACTTCCATTTTTCTAGAAACAAGTTTAGGGATTACAAAGATTGTCAGGATATATACCCGATTTAAGTTTAATTTCTTTTCCTGTTATTTTAAGGACACGTGAATTATTTTCTTTCTTTTAACAGTGATATGATTAAACTAACTAATGTAACGATATTCAAAACATTTAAAAATAATATTAATCCCCTAGATAAGTGAATTATTCAAGCCATTATTTAATAAAATGTATGTTTCAATGAGAAATATCACAATGAATGTTCATTTCAAGGGATTACTGTACTACTAAATAGTCGGAAAAAATTTTTTCTATGAAAATTGCGTTTATAAGCAGCACAGTTTCAAACACTTTTTTCATTGTAACAACGTGTTTTTCCCCTTTTTGCAAATATGTTTATTTGTAGACGCAATTTAAATGAGAATGTTAATCGACATAACCTTTTCCATGTTGTGTATCGCATCATCTATTGATGGGGCTGCTCTTGAAAGTAATACCACACTTCCTTTTGACCTTTAGCCATTCTGCTATTAATGGAAAAAAAAAAACAACCTAGTAACACACCAAGGGCGTTGCGGAATTCGATATCGGGCACAATGACCACTCATAAATACTAGACATCGTATGTGTCAGGGTTTCAATAGGGGAGAGAAAAAATATATATCCGTCGCTTCTTACAATGGGACATTATTAAAATTGGGAGTTTTGCCGCAAAAGGTGGCCGATTTGTCTAACAATGATGGGAGAGTGGACGCGTATGGAAATGGCATTTTGTCTGTTGGACAAAACAGAAGAAATGATATCATAGCTGAATGGAGCTTTTATAAATGTTACTATTCAAGGATAGACTCTTCCGTAGATTTCGAAATAGTTCGAGGATTTATTTTTAGATGCCATAATTTTCGGTGACTTTAGGTGGATCATTTGTGATTGAATTATAGTATGAAAAATTGTTATTTGCGAGAAGCATCTTTCAATGAAGAAGTTTTAAAGAATAGGAAGGAAGATTTTTTATTGAAATTTTTTTTAATTAACGAGAGCGGTTCCCAACCCGACGGCTGCGACTCAAAAGCGGGCCGTCGGCGGCTTGGCATCGGGCAGTGGACACTGGTCGAAACTCTAAGCCAAGATAAATCTTGAGGTCCAATACCAGTCACTATACCTAGTGAAATGTAGCATCGCTCAATATTTTATTAATTCTTCTTCTACATAATCTTTAAATATGTGCTCAATATATACAATATAAATTCGTTACATTAGGTGTCTATTTTTTTTATTATGTGTTTTGCTTGAATATTTAGTAGTTATTAGGACTTATTTTTCTCTCTCACGTAATTGGTGGTTTGCGTAATTAAAAAGATATGGAACTGCTGATTTTCGCAATTACTTCGAGAAATTTGACTGAGTATGCAACAGAAATAAAAGTAACATCAAGTATCCGAATTTCGACGAATATTTTGCTATCGTAACCGATAATTAAATATTTCAGCTACTCCATTATTATTCTACCTTCTCCCCGAAATTTTTAATTAAAAAAAGTATATTTTCGATGTCTGTTTTCGTAAATTAAATTATCATGATTGCATTTTAGTATGTAAAATTTCTATCATTACTTCAAACGTTATTCTGAGTATAATGTTTATTATTTTGCTAATATCATTTGCTATTCAAATAGAGTATGCATATATTTAATTTAAAAAAAATTTAAGTTGCTTAACAAAATTTGAAAATTCATTACTTTTAATGAATACTTATTTTAATGTTCTCCCTAAGTGTTTTTAGAAGGGTGGCCCATCCTGCCTGCCCGTTTACTTAGGTAAATGCACCCCCTTGCCCTTTTTGTAAGAATGCTGTCCCCTTTTTTTTTTTAGAAAAAAAAATCTTTTTTTTTATTTTAAGAAAAGAAATTGCAGTTGCATTAGCCAAGAGCTTGTGATTACCATAACTACTGCAAAAAGTTAAATGCAAACCCTTATATTGCACCATGGCCCCTGCCCTGACTAATATTGAAAACTTAAGTGTAATTAATATGTGTATCATCCTGTTACTTAATTTTAGTTTAAATTGTAATCTGCTACATATTTACTGGAGGATAATTGTTGGTAAACTGTGCACAATTACTTGTTAATTGAAGTGAGAATCTGTATAAAGAAGTTTGAACAATTACATTTTGAAAACTTAGAGTGAGAAAGTTTAGATATAATTGCAGTAAGCTTCATGTTGCGCAAAATTTTTAATCGCTTGTTTTGTGCAAAATTTAACATCACAAATCATTCTTCAAATTCTACTCAATGCACTAGCGTTGGTGTGATTTAAATTAACTGAGATTTTTTCCATCTATTCTTTAAACAAACTGATTTTTTTTTTTTTTAAATTATAAACTTTTTTAAAAAATATATTTTGGTCAGTATAATAAATAAATATATTCTTTAGAGTGTGATTTTTTTGAAGTCTGATGTTAGTAATAAGGAATTTTTTTTAAAGAAATAATGAATGTAAATTATTATATTTACATATAGTTCTTACATTACAGTTACATTATTTTATTAAAAAAAAAGCATTGATTTTTTTTAAATATTATTCAAATGATTTTCTAAAAAAATATTAATTTAAGTATTAAATATTTTTTATACAATATAATTTAAAAATACATTATTTAGGTGGTGACTTTTTTAAAAGTCTTATTTCATCGATAATGAAGATTTCATACTAAGAAATAATTTGCCTGTATATTATTATATTTCAAAATAGACTGAAAATAAAAAATGAAGACTTGGATAAGAGTGACATGAATCTTTTAGATTATACTATTTCACTAATTGTGTGCCAAATAATTTTCTGGCAAAAATCGTATTTCAATTTTATCCATTTAAATGCAATGCTTTTAAAACTTATTAAATATGTATTTTGAGTGTATCAAAACTTGTTCTTCCCAGAATAACTTAAAATAATTTTTCTTTCTCTTATTTTTTCTGGTCTAAACTAATAATTTACTCTTCATTAGATATCTAATTGACAGTCTCCCAACCTTTAAAATTCATTAGGAAGAAACACATAACTATATTTTATTTATTCAATGATATATTTAGTAATTTTAACCAATTTAGTAAGAAATTTTAACTATAATATTATTTTTAAAAAAATTTAAAAAAATCTGAATTGAATAAAAAGAAATCCAATTCATGTAAAATAAAACAGTTTTTTTTTTTTTTTTTTATTTTTTTTAGNTTTTTTTTTTTTTTTTTTTTTTTTTAAATTTTAAAATCCTAATTTTTCCCAACCCTGAAAAATACAAATACTACTGTACAAATACTTTACTCCCTTATCATTTACTCCTTTTTATTTTAAATCATTGATATTTTCAACCTAGAAAGTGCTTTTTCTAGGAAAAGTTCTCTTAGAATCAAAGCTATCTTTTATAATTTTTTTAAAAAACTTTTATGCATGTTTTATTAGTAGTTTCTAAGTTGAATAAAATTTGAAAGCTAATTTTTAAACCTCTTGTACATAGTGAGGCTATTAACTTCCAGGACTGTTATAATAAATCCTTAAAATATTATGTGAATTACATATCCATTTATGTTTCGATACGCATTCCAACTGCCACAATGAATTTGTACTGTAAAAGATTCTTTTATAAAAAATCTGTTGTAAAAGTTTCAGAAACAACTTTAAATACCCTCTTTCAGAATGTGTTTCAATTCAGATGTCATTGATGTCTTCGACATCTTTAATCCTTTTCCTTCAGCCAATTTTTTAGTTTTGGAAACTAGAAGAAGTTTTCATATTATTTGTTTGAAGAGTATGGTGGATGTATAGTATGAGTAAAGAAGAGTATGGTAATATTTAATCAACCTTTGAAACTACATCCGATAAATTTGATAAAGGAACAAGGTTTTAGATAAAGATGTTAAAAATGCCCTGACATCAGAATTGAAGAACATTCTAAAAGTAGTTTCAGAGACTTTTACAACCGAGTAAAAAACTGCATTGCTGGAAGTGTTGTTGAGTTCGCTTTAATTTTATGAAAATACTATCAGCTAAGTTTAATATTAATTGTAATACAATAATACAGTAGGGAACCGATTATCCGGAACGATCGGGACCATCGCTATTCCGGATAACTGATTTTTCCGGTTTTCTGAATCGCTACAAAAAGCCTTTTATTTTATTGTTAAACCCAACAAAAAAAATTTTTTTTTTTTTTTTTGGAAATAATCTTAAAAAGAAGAAAAAATTATGAAGGAATACACTAATGATTGTTTCCAAAATGATGGTAAGGTAAACATCTTTCAAAAAACAAAGAGAAATCCTAAAATCTTATGAGGAAAAAAACATTTTTTAAAAAAATGACGTAAAAATTAATCGAATTTCGTTCCGGTTTTTTGGTTTTCCGGTTTTCTGATTTCCGGATAACGGGTTCTGTACTGTAGTATGCAATAATCATTAAATTTAACGTGAGAACTGGGCCATAATGCCACATAAGGGTTTATTTCAAACTTATAACTTGATTATTTGACAATAATGTATTTCTTATAAAATAAAATTTATCTAGATCAGTTCTTAAAATTAAAGCCACACCTTGTGCATTGGTAGTGAAAAGTTTTATATTTGCAGGAGAGGCGGCAGAAGCAGAGAGACTTGCTCGGAAAGTTCGAGTTCTGTGTTGGGTGATGACAGGTCCAGATAACCATGAACGTAAAGCTAAACATGTGAAGGCTACATGGGGACAACGTTGCAACATCCTTCTGTTCATGAGCTCAAAAGAGGATCCCTATTTGCCTGCGATAGCGCTGGACGTAAAGGAGGGCAGGGATCACCTATGGGCAAAAACTAAAAAAGCATTCACGTATGTCCACGACAAATACATTGATGAAGCTGATTGGTTTATGAAAGCAGATGATGACACTTACGTTGTCGTTGAAAATTTAAGGTGAAGTCATGAATGTTTTTATTTATATTTCTATTTGGCACTGAAGTGTGCAAGGGTTTATCATCCACTACTTTCAAGAAATATAAGTTTTAAGTCCAGTATGAGATGGGCTGCCAAAAAAATTTTTTTTTTAAATTATTATAATAAATTAATTGGACCTGGTTAGAAATTTCTTAATTTTAAATTCTTCTTGATGTTTAAATTAGTATAAAAAGAGTAATTCTTAAAAACTGAAATAGATTGTAGTTCTATAAAAATTTTATTACGGAATTAAATTTCTTACATTTGTGATTTATTATAAATAAAACAAAGATTGTTCCTAGTTAATTACAAATCAAATAAGCCAATTTATTAAATTGAGTTCCATTTAATCAATTATGGTATCAATGAAATTCAGTATAGGAACATCTAAACTTGACTAATTTTAGAATCAGGCTGATCTCTAAGAACTAGACTGAATACTAAGCACCAGACTGATCTCTAAGAAAGTATCTCATCAGTCATGTATTGAAAGCTTTTCATTTTCTCATTTTTGGAATAGTGTTAATGTATGTTATTAAAAATATTTTTGTCTACATGGATATTTTGTTCTGATTATTATTATTTTTTTGGGTCAAAGACATTACACTGTGGCAACCCATATAGCACAAAATCGTGAAGTGAATGTCTGTTGGCTGTCATTGGAAACATCCACTATAACCCTTGTGCATGTCTTGTGGTTGTCCATTACACAGCCTGTGGAAGTTCTTCTGCCCTCTAACAGTTGACAGCCAAAATTTAGTTGTTGATTTTTAGATGTAATGATGTATGCACAATTTGAAAAGTCTATGATCGACTTTGTTAGGCTTAACTAATGTAATTATAATAAAATTCAAACATAAGCATGATGTAGAAATGCCTAAGAACTGGCATAGAAAAATTTTAAACAGGAATATCATTATAACAATACGGTCAAAGAAATAGAAAATTGTCTGGGTCATAATCAAAGCACAGTCTTTATCATTAGGAAAATATTTACCTCCAGACTTTAAAATAACAAGTTACAAAAGAATTAACAACTTCTGAAACTTTTAAATATTATTCTAATAATGATATCTAATGGAATACAAGCCTATTATTGGATTATCAACCATAAGGAGACATTTCCCTAGATGTTTAATAGTGGTCATTTCGTAGATGCCCAGCCACATCTATGGTGTGCCTATTATATCTATAAGATGTTTGTACTGAAACCACTACAGATCATCTATGATTAATCCACTGGACTATGTGGTAGAAATCTTGATGACTAATGGACGACTTGTGCTATATGGTAGTGTTGTAGGATGTTTTTGGTTGCAATTATTGTGAATGCCAATGTCTTATCGTTTTATATGGCTCTATCAGATACTAAGAACTAATGCACTAGCTCTAACTTTTATGAAGTAACTATGAAGATTAAATCAGAAGTCAAATTTAGTTTTCTCTAACTTAATGCCAAATCTTGCCATGTATAGATTTGTGTTCTAACTTAGTATAGAAATTTGATAGGCAATATCTGTTTCACTATGAACATTTTAGAGTTTTTTGAAGACATAATTTTGGAGCCTACCTAAATGAAAAAGTGTTGTTAAAAATATTACACTTATTTTCTAAGCTGTTTAGTTTTTTAAGCATAAAAAGCAACAAGTTTTAATTTACCAAATTGCAAATTTTGGTATTTTGTTAACCTGTTTGTTGCTTTTTAAGTAGACTTAAGAGTTGATGAGAAATGGCATATTAGCTACATGTTACAATTTTATATTTTGAAACAGTTGACTGGAGCTGAAATTGTAAACAAAATAACAAATTTTTTTAATAAATTATTGGGTATCAGGATAACAGGAAATTAAATTTATTCCTGTTTTGAAATTTTTTTTTAAGTTCTCTTTAATGCCCTTTCTTTAACAGCATTGCTTTCTTTAAATCAATACAACTACAAATGAGGTATCTCAGCAATTTTACCTTCTATTTTTTTCAGACTTTGTTTGCAATACTATTTTATTAGTTTTTTTTTTTAAGTATATGTAATGTCATTTACATTTTTCACAGCTAAGCTGATTCTGTTTCTTTGAATATTAAAATCATTTAGTGTTCCTCATATTTAGCAGATCAGTACATTTTGGGTTTTATTTTGTCTACGTTTGAATTTTAATTTGTAATAGTTCATTACTTAAAAAAATTCCATTGTTTTGTTTACAAACTTATTTGTATTCTCGCAAAATGTAGTTTTTATGACTTTTACATATTTTCAGATACATGCTCATGTCACACAATCCCAGTGAACCAGTTTATTTTGGTTGCCGATTTAAGCCTTACGTGAAGCAAGGCTACATGAGTGGTGGAGCAGGCTACGTTCTGAGCAAAGAGGCTGTCAAAAGATTTGTACAGAAGGGCATACCTGATGGAGAGAAGTGTCGTTCGGACGATGGTGGGGCTGAGGATGTGGAGATAGGAAAGTGCCTGGAAAGCATTGGCGTGAAAGCCGGTGACACTAGAGACAGTTTAGGCAGGGGAAGGTTTTTTCCCTTTGTTCCTGAACATCATCTCATTCCTGGTCATGTGCCAAAAGATTCCTGGTATTGGCAGTACATCTATTATGCATCTACAGAGGTACATATTCCCTTCAGAATTAAATATTTTCACTTTCACAAAGAAAAAATTAAAGTGTGATGTTTTGTTATTCATCTTAGGGAATTAATTATAATAAAAATACATAATGCAAATGATATACATTTTGCAGTGTTCAAATACAACTATATTGCATAGATAAAATGTGGTAATTTTGCACTTGAAAAATGTAATAATCTTTTTGAGAAATATTTTTTTATAATATTATATTTGTTTTTGCTTGCTTTAGTACCTTTGCACAGTACCTTTGCAACAATTTTTTAAAATAAAGGTATAATCATCCATTTTGAGGATGCTTTACATGCTCAAAGTTATAATCAATAATTTATCTTCAAAAAGTAATTAAACTGTTTAATTTTTTTAAAATTTTAAAAAAAGTTGAAAAAATTCTAAATTTTTAAATCCCTAAGGCTTTTTTATTTTAACATATTTTCAAAAAAAGTTTTTTTCATAGTGCTTGCAATATTTATCTTAATAATTTTGTGCATTCATTTGTTGATATATCAATTAGAATATTTTTTATAGATTATTTTGTAAAAAAGTAGAAAAAAAGGGTAAAAATTCCTGTTAGGTATATATAACATGCCGTAAAAATTGTAATACCTCATAAAATGCTTATTCCATGCACAGTTTAAATAAGTGTATTATACTCAATATAAAAAAGTTTACTTCAAAGCTTTATCTCAAATAGAAAAAATTCCTTAG